AGGCTACAACAGAATATAAAGGATAGGAATTACATAATTTAGAAACCCAAGTGCTAAGTAAAAATGTCTTCGTATTACACCATTTTTCCAACTCAAGATTATTAAAATCTCAGCTTGATTCCTCTTTGAGGTTTTCTGATATTCATGGCCAACAATGACAAACCAGAAGTTAAGCAATTCCAATGCTTTTCTTACCTCTTTTCTTTTCCATTTAGAATTAAGTGGGTGGAATAAAACTCTTCAGAGCAGGGATTTAAAAAATACTTGGCTTTAAACCTCACTCAAAGTCAATATTCCCGACTAGTAGCCAGTAAGACTGTTATTTGTAGTGATGGCAAGACTGTTTTCTGGCGGACCCTGTGTATTTTGAAAAATTAAGCTCAAGCCTGCCTGTTGAAACACCCATGTGCCTGTCCAGGTAGAGTATAAAGAAAGCAGATTTCCCAGTTATCTCTGTGTTTAGAACAACTATTCTACAGTAATGGAACACAACAGGTCTGTCACCATATTTTCCTGTTAATTCTTGTTATATAAACATTGCCTAAAATTAATTAGCTTTTCTGGCAGGTTTATTACTTGCTAACCAACACCATAAAATGCAGGCAACTAACACATCTAGGTATTTTTTTATTCTATCTATTCAACGCAAGTTTCAACCTCCCTCAATTTACATACAAATTCTTTCAATTTCTCATGATTCAGACTGTTAAATTTATATTGTCATGCAATAATAGCTTTGACTTCTTGCTTTAATGTTAATGTGAGCATTTTATAATTATGTCCTTAGATTTTCATGAGATCCAGTCCTAAAAGGTAAAAGGTGATTAAAAATTTGTCCTCTAATTTTTAGCATCTTTGATTATCCTCTAAGAAACAGCCTTCACTGAAATTGGTCAAAATGTAATCAGATAATAAATTACATAAGTACTAGGTACAAATTATTAGGGAATATATTTGGGTTATAAAACAGTTCAGGTTCCTATCTTCAAGGTACTTACAACATAATTGTTGGGAGAGGACATTTAATCAGTATCAATCTCCACCAAGTAATCCACTATGATGATTCCTTCAAGTTACATGGTTCAGATCTGCAACTATGCAGAACCATAAGGGTGGGTCTCAAACATAATTCTGGGTGAAGGAGCACAGACACAATATACATAATGTATGATTCCATTTATTAGAAATCAGGATAGGGAAAGGATAGTAGTTTGAAGGGGCATGAAAAGGTCATGAAGGAGCGTATAATATTTTGTGTCTTTATCTGGGTGCTGGTTACACAGATGTGTTCAGTTTGAGCTGTATGTTTATGAATGGTGTAATCTTCTGATATAAATTATACTTTAATAAAAAGACTTTTAAAAAGTCTTATCACTGAGCATTCAAAAACCAGATTATCCAAGTTCTGAAATCTGAGTTTTACCATTTGGGTTAACAAGTACTGGCAGGTGTTAATGATATATCTAAGCTTTTTGGGGGATGAGTAAAACAAAACAAATTGTCTCATGCAAGCAACCTGGTTCTGATTTAATCCTCAAAAATGTAATCTCATAGGGAACAAAGAGGAAATACTGGAAGCCTTCTTCAACATAACACTTAAGGTTATTTAAATGAGAACTTTTAAAATCTAATAATTTTTAACTAGATGTAAATAGGTGTAACTATTGTGTTAAAAAACTTAATTCAAATCATCAAGTATCCAGTAAAAGACATACTATAAATTTACTTAGATATAAATTTAAAATTAGTAACTCAACTGTACAACTTTCTCTATTCTCTCTTTAAAGATTGGTGCTATCTTAAGAAAGGACAAGAGACTCAAGGGGATGGTGCACCTAGCAACTGTTATCTCATTTGCTGCTACATTTATGCATTTTCCTTCACTATGGCAAATACTCTGTTTACCAGTAAGGTCAAATCCTCACAAGCTACCTGATTTCTTCCTTTAGTCTACCTGAACTAAAGCTTCCTCCTTCTAGTGCTCCTTTACCTTACTGACCTGATATTTATAAGAGAGTAAATTTGTAAATTTTTACCCTAAGCTTTTGCAGACAATAGACTCCCAATGAGAATCTGCTCCCCACTGATCAAGATAGGTTTCTAATCTAATACTGTTAATGTAACAAAGCAATTCCAATAATTAAGTTTGGAAAGCTGTTCTTTAAAGAAAAAAAAAGTCAAATTTTAAAGTTACTATTCTGAAATGCCAATAGAGCAGGATACCAATAGAAACTGACTTCTTCATAAAAAGATAATCTCCAGAAAGCTAACTATGGAAGCTATATGATTCATTTTAATAAGTCAACAAAAACAGTTTTAGGGCTTCCTAAGAAAGAGCTGTATTATTTTTCAACTATTAGTATCTATTGTCCTATTTGGTGATGGTTTCAGATGACTGATTCTTTGAAGACTCTGCAAATGACAAATGGGGAAGACAGATGGCACCTACAGGGAAAGGGAGAGAAAGGCTTGACGGCAGCTTCAACTTTAGTACAATAACTGAATAAAGCATTGGAGATCAATGCAAAGAGAGAATACCTAAATATAGGCAGGGACCCACTGATGAAAAGCATCTCAATTTGCTATTTCTAATATAAACAGGGAAGGAAGCAAAGCGGCCATTAGAGAACTCTAATAAGTCAAAGTGAGAAAGGTATACTAGTTTCTTACATTTTGACTAAAAGATATTCTTATAAAAGAATCTTGGGGAAAAAAGATTCCGGTCTCTCAAGTAAGGCAAAACGAAGGATCCTAGCTATCTAGGGCAGGTTTAATGAAGACTAGCGAAGAACTTAAAAGCTGCCCCTACTGAAAATGATTTCCAAGATTTCATTAATAGGAGTCTGAAATATGGTATCTATAGACACTGACAGGCAAATTTATACCTCAAGTAAGTAGATAATGTAAGAGCTTTATAGTCGGTTAAACCCCTGAATGATTCTACCTAATAGAATCATCCCTGCAAATTAGGAGTGAAATTTAAAAAGTCCTACATTTATTATAGTGAAAAATGGACAAGGCAATTTGGTGAAATCTAACACAAATGAGGTCAGAAGTTATATTTAATATTTTCAAGCCTCAACATACAAATCTTCAACCGGTCTGCAATGAAAAGAAAGAACATTCTCACAGTATTTTATTAGCTAATACACCTATTTAAAAAATCTGTAGATATTTGCCAAATGAAGTTGTAGTTAGAATAAAGCTGGCCACTACTGATCTTCTTAACTTAAAATTTAACAAGCTAGTTGAAAAGTTAAAAGGAAGCCACTAGTCAATTTCTACTGGGTTGGATTTGTACCAACAGGTACAATATACCTCGGAACAAATAGGTCAACTTACAGTGAATAATGATCTAGAATGTAAATTCTGATTATATTCTGGTATTAACATATTGTAAGCAAGTATCCATTAACTTCTTTGGTTCTGGACAATAGGCTCCACAAAGAAAAGAGAGTATTTTCAACCCATGAGAAACTACTGAAACAGCAACTAGCTCCATTTCTGATACCTTAAATGTTTCTGCTATTAGGAAAAAAAAAAAAAGGTAAGGCATATTTAGGTGTAAGAACAAATGAAGAGCAGGCAACTTCTTTGTTTTTTACCAAAACAAAACTTTTAATATTAGATCCAAACATAAAAAAATAAAGCTCAAACCTTTCTATACTGTTCTGATGAAAATATTGTTCACATCGATACCATGGTGCCTCGTGAAAATTAGCTATCTGAAATAAATTACCATACATCTTGAAAACTATTCTTATTACATTTCTAAATAGAGTGCTATTTTGCCTTTTTCTAATGGAAAAGTATGAAGTACACCCCAAAGTACTCACCCTAGCTACATCTGATAAGCCATTTGAATGATTAAAGCAATCATGCTTATTTCATGCAATTTACATTTACATCTTAATGTATGATGCTATAGCTATGCAATTTAAAAACTGGAAATTACAAACATACTATAAAATTAAAACATTTTCAGCTAAGGGACACATCTCCAAAAAAGATACTTTGTAAGAAAATTTCTTTAGAGTGACACACACATTAAATCAAGCCTAAAAGCTAAAGACTGTTATCATTTCTAGGCAATGCAGATCATGTCATAACATGACATGTACATGCACTTAGCAATACTCTTTTCTACTGAAAGAGATGGAGTTGAGTCCATGATGTTATCCAAACTATGCAAGAGGACACAAATACGTTGCCAGGCAGAGTTAAAAGAATCTAGCAAAGCTTTGTGTGAATTTTAAAAACATTTGTGCTCAACTTCAATTAATTAGATACAGAACTATGGAGTGCTAATAAATATTCAGCAAAATAACTGAACAGAGCACATACTACTTGAAAATGTGTATTAAGCAGAAAGATAAACCAAAGTATCTTTTGCCATAAATGGACTCCAAGAGTTCATTCTACATTTTAAAGTTAAAAATAAAGTATACACCTTTTTGTGAGAAAATAGTTTTTTAAGGATTTATAAAACAGTAATGCAGATCCAGTGAATTCTAGCAAATAAGCTTGATATTAAAGTTTCTCATCAAGAATAACTACTCCTTTTGATACCTTGGACTTGTCCCTCCTACTTAATATGGACTAACATTTTGCTTTGAATCACTAAGATTTTTACAGAGAAATCATATAAAATAGTATAAAATTAAAATAACCGTACTGACTTTATTTTATAGAATATATGTTTATAGTAAAATACACATGGGTAAGTGGATTATTTCATATAATAAAATCCAATTGAATATGTAACTACTTCAAAAAACAATATACTTAAAAGTACAGTTAAAAGAAAAGTATGTTTATAGTCTATTTAAAATATAGATTGACCTTTTGGTTTATTTTGCTGCTTTGTCCCATGCTACTAGATACTACATGATTTTTCCCCAAAGTAATAGTTCAGTTTTAATGATGAGAAACTGGTACAATGTGAAGCAATTCATGCATACACTTTTGCATGTATGCATTCCATATTTAAGTATTCATACCTATCCCAGAGGTTCTTTGAATCCTGAAACGTGTTCAAATGGAACGCTTGGTAGAAAGCAGTTGAAGGATTCCTGTGGGATCCAAGAATCAAATGGAAATGAAGTTGAGAAGGTACAGTACAATCACAAAAAAGATGGAAGATTTAGACTTCTAATATAGTAACTTCTCTAATAAAAAGAGGAAAAAACACATTAGCTTGCTTAAAAACATTTTGAAAGAAATTTGAAAAGTGGACAAAATCCAGCAGACCCTGACAACAATTCAGGATCACAGTTCTAAAAGAAAGGGGTAATACAGATAAAATTAAAAACTAGCATCCAGTTGTGTGTACATTCATACACACAGGAATGGGACCAGTTCATAGCCTAGTCAACACTACTCTATCAAATGCCTTCTAAAGCCTTATATATTAGCAGTTTAACAAAGCTGTTTTAGATATTCATGCAAAGTAAGTTCGTAATATAAAAATTCTTCCTAAGATCTATTTGGAAGGGTTTGATGATGAACAATGAGTCCTTTTGTGGGTTGGACTTGACACAATTTACACCTTCAGAATCCATTTATGTATGGTTTCTCTGGGTTAAGGTAAAATTTAGCACTGCAATTGTATGGCAGCTTCCTAATTTCTTGCATTAATATAGTGGCCCTTTAAAGGGTAAGAGCTTATACAGCACAATCACTATCCAATTCTACTATTCCGTGGGGATACATTCCCTAGAGCTTTAACATAGACCTTAACTGATGGGCTCAGCATGGCAAACTCCCAGCATGCATGACTCACCTCACATCTTAGGAAAGGTTTCTCAGGGGGACTACTGAACTTTTGCAGGGGGACAAACCTGCTAAAAGACTCCCTCCACTTAAGCATATTTCCAGTCTCCCCCAACAATCTGTACATTAGGGAACTACCAAAAACTTGCCACATTTTCACTTCTAAAATTCTTGACTCATTCTGTAGCAGAATAACAGCAGCAAGCTAAGAATGTAAGTGCTTATTATATACCAGACACTATTCTAAGTGCTTTACATTTATTAATTCAATTCTACAACAGCCCTAAGAGGTAGATGTCTCTATTAGTCCCATTTCACAGATAAGGAAGCTGAGTCAGATAGAAGTAACTTGCCTGATGCCACAGAGCTAGTAGGTAGCAATCTAGTCCAAGAGTTAATGCTCTTGAACTACTATGCCTAACATATAGCAGAGTTAAACTCTTTTAAACCTCTTTAGGTCTGCCTCTCTATCAGTTAAGTGGCAGCTATTATTGTTAAGGTTGGTTCAAGAACAGACTAGATGTAAAGCTCCTTCGATATAGTCAATTCTCACTAAGTAACAGCTTTTATTTATCATCAAAATGAAATTCAGATACAACATGGCAATTCTGAGATCTTAACAAGTATCATAAGAGAGTTTCTGCAGTATTGTTAATAAGAAAACTATTTCCAAGTTCTGATGGAATAGGAATCAAATTATCAATGATCATCAAATAAAAGAAATACTTGATAGAATTCCATGATTTCAAAACTCAGATTAAGACTCACTATATTACCTACTCGATTAAAAAAAATTTTTAAGTTATTTTTAATTTTAACCAGTAGGGTGCCTTTTAGATGATGCCAGAGTATCATGAAGCAACTGATTAATTAGGAGTCTTAATTAGGGGTCTTCAGTATGTGTACTTTGCAAGGCCTATTTCAACTCCTTTCTATTCTTTTAACCCTTTCTCTCCTTTTCTCTTGAATAGATATAAGGCAATCACATGCACTGATTAGCCCTAATATCAAGAAAGGATTAAGAGGCTGTTAACTACTGTATATTTAACAGCTTGTATCCTCTTACGATACATTTGTCAAGCTTTTTTGACTGTACTTAGAAATATGCCAAATTAAATGAAAGCCAACTGAACAAACTGAAAACTCAATTTGGCTTTTTTAGCAGGCTTAGCTGGGACCATATGGGAACAAGTATGCTACTCACACAGGTCTGTTTGGAGACCTTGGGTTTAAAATAGAGTGACTCAAAGAGAAAGTAGTAAACATAAGAGTAACAGAATAAACAACTTGGGAATTATTCTGGACGTCTAGATTTGAAATTCATTAAGCATATTTATAAGGATGACATTCTTTACAAGACTTTAGATCCCTTGACTTTGGAAAAATATATACATAAACATTTACTATGAAAATCCATACATAAAATAAGTTGGTTTTAAATGAAGTTTTATGACTTATTTTAGAAATTCTATCACTTTTATAGCATAGACTCTAATAATGGAATGTTTTTCATCAGTCAAATGCAGAAGTGAGAATGAATGTATCAGCAGCTAGTCGTTGTATATCTTTGGGTGAGAAAAGAACCTGTGAAATATAATACTATAAATGGACCTAAAGTTTTTAGAACATGTCAGAACAAATACACTTAGGTTGCAAAAGCTGGCAGTTACACTTTCTACATATACTCAAAATGAAGAAGCCATATGGAGTTATGCAATCTATGTACTCTAGAAAAATTTAAATAGTCTAGATTCCAAGGATAAACATTTAGACAGTCTTATAAAATATCAAATTTTTGGCTTCTGGAATACTTCAGCAGGTATGTTATCCATAAACTGAGGGATTTTTAGCAAAGAGCAACAATAATTAGTATCTAAACATTGATTAAGAAGCATAGATTAAAGGAGTCAAATCTGTGAAAACCTAGATGACCAAGCATTTCAAAGGAGCCATTTGTAAAAACTGAAAGGCCTGACCATCAAAGACTTGTTTTGGAATGGCATAAAATCGAGGAAATTAAAAGAATGCAGGCAGTAGTGAGCGCTCTTATTCTCTTGTGAGCACATGCACACTGCGCACCCCCCACCCTCCCCACACTGTTAATGGAGATCATTTCAAGGGTACAGTTTATAAAATCTGAAGGCACCAAGAGACAACTGTCATACTACAAATATATTACAGAAATACTGATTTTTATATGCAGATTTAGTCACAAATTCTCTTCTGTCCAAAGAATCAAACTTAAAACCAGTTTTCTGGTAACATATTTGATGTCAACATAAGCTACTAAATATACAGACAACAAAGCACTTCTTAGGAAGACTGAGGTGTGGTTTATTTTAAATTCATTTCAGCTACCTAAATAAATATGCTGTTTTCCTGTTTGTAGACGTTTTTCAAAACTAATGTACAAAATATACTTTTCTCCCTGGCTTTATCTACTAAATAGTCTTTCATATTGATTTCCAAGTATATGAAAGCAGAACATCAAAAAATGACTCAAATGTGACTTATGTCTACCTACTTTACTGAGAAACTATCTTTGCATAGTAACTAACAGAGAGGAAAAACATACATACATAGCATACCTCAAAATAAGCTACAAAAGTTGTTGAAGCTTAAAGGATGAGGTACATGAATGAGCCCTGAACACAGCAAATACCTTCTTCTTCTCTTATGTCAAAATTCAATTTGAGATCTCTATAAATAGAAATCAGGGAAACACAATAAGCAAAGGAAAAAGGGCCATCTCCAACATTACTATTTAGGGATTTTAAAAGATTAAAAATGTCCTTTAGTTCCAACACAACACATCAGCATATAGTAGCTTTTCCTTCTTCTTCTTATGCTCAGCAAAGTGATAAAACAAAACTAACTCTGGGAATATCCAAGAGTACTTTCAGAGTCAGAAGGCCTAAATCTATGGTTTGTTACTTAGTATGTGATTCATATTCTCAGAGTCTCAATTTTTCTTAAATCATAAAAAGGGGAAGAAAACACTTCCTTAGGGATGGTGAAAAGATCAAGTGAGTGTATGTTTACATAGGGCCTGACACAAGCTTGGTTTCTATTTAATATAGGATTACAGTTTCCAAATTATGCTGTATAAAAAAAAGCCTTTAGTAGATTTTCTTACATATATCTAATCTCATCATTATTAATGTAATATTGAGGCAAACAGAATACTTAAACTTAGAGCTAGGTATACCAAGCTATTATCCATTCCACTGGAGAATCCTGACTTCAGGGACTCAGATCTTCCCCAGGATTTCCTTCCTGTATAAGCAAGATTTTAATTAAAAGTACAATAATCACTGAAAAGGGTACTGAAATGGTTCCAAGATACATACTACTTTTAACAGTAAGAACCTTTAACAGCAACTATAAACTTAGGATAAAAATCTCAATTTCTTATCATGACATTTAAGCCTTTCACTCTGGTTCCCATCAAATCACATCATTTTCCAAATCTGACACATTCTCACTCTTCCACTTTCTTATGCAAACTGTCTTCTCCCTCTACACGGAAAATAACTCCCTTCTCTTACTTGTGACCTAATCTGAATGACCCTTTTAAGATTTAGTTCAAGAGTAGCTTCAGAAGAATGCACAAGTACTAACAGATTGATTCTGGGGACAGAAACTAGGTGGCTAGAGGACATAGGTGATAGAGTGGTTTTCAATTTATACTCTTGCATAGTTTGAATTTTGGACTGTATAAATTTATTATCTATGCAGGGAACAAATCAATTTTAAACAGAAGTCAGTCTAACTACTTCCCCCCCCACCAGTCTGATGTCCTAAATGGTTCCCATTAGCACTTTATATTTACTTCAACACAGCCTGTAATATATATCAAAGTAACATCGGATAATTATTTTCATATAGCCTGAGATCTTGGAGGGCAGGATAGTTTTATTTCTGTATCCCAGTATTTATTACTCAGAAAGTGCAAAGTTGAATGATTTGACATATTGTTTGTTGCTTTAAATGTTTTCTTGGGCATTCACCCTACTTAGTGAATATTTACAAGCTTTATTTACTTTGTCCCACCATAGTGTGGGGTCAGGAAAAGGGTTTGGCAAGAGGAAGGTTTATTAGGTTGGTAGCTCCCTCATGAAACATGCATAAATGGATTCACACATACACAGCCTTAAAATCTGACCAAATCTCAATTCTTAATTATACTAAAGAGGAAACTTTAGAGAACTTAAATGACTTGACCAAAGAAACCAGTTGAGTGGTGGAAGAGCCAGAACTAGAACACAACTTGAACTTCTTACAACATCATGACTTTTAT